GACTAAGTTTTTCATTTATCAAACTTTGTTTTAATTGTCTCTCTAAATACGAATGTACATCACATCACAGCACAAAAATATTATTTTACAAAAGTCCTTTGAACTTGATTCTAAGCTTTAAATTAAGAAAAAACAAAATAAAACACACAGATTAAATTGCAGTAATACCCTATTTAGCACTCAGGAAGGGTTCCTGAGAACAGAGCTCTAAATGAATCAGCTCACATTACATATATGAAGATATGTAACTGAAGGTATTGTTTCTTACCTGTGAATGATGTATAAGTACTTTATTTAGGTACTGGTAAACACAGATTGTTAATATACAGTATTATTTATTACAGTAAATGAACACAGTCTTAAAAACTAAGAAACACATCAAACTGGCATCGATTCCTGAACTGGCGCCGACTCTAGGGTGAGAGGCAGCAGGTACACGAGGCTGTGGATATCATTTGGCTCTTCTCATCACTGAAAGAAGAAAACACAGAGCAATCTATAACGATGACTGAAATGGTAATATGAGGTTAAGAAGGTAATGAGCTGGTTGCTATGGTAAAACTTGCTGCAGCACTGCCAGGTGTAAGTGAACAGTTAATAACTACAGCCTCAAAATTTATCTTAAATTCAAGTAGATTTTATTTTTCCCTATTAAAATTTTTCGTTTTTAACTACGTTATTTATATCAATCCCAACAACATCACGTTACTGTGAAAACGTTCTAACGTTAACTAAAGTAAGGAAGCGGAAGGGTGAGTAGATGCATAGGCCTAAACCATTCACTGCACTGCTGCATCAACCTGCTACTATACACAAATGCTTCAGTCACCCCAACAGTATGTACTTATGGCATGCAGTATGACTTACATACAATAAAGATAAAAGGATTGTTACTGTAAAATTGTTTAAACAATGACAACAATCAAAAGAAAGCAAGAGATGTATATGCACATGTGTCACCATTGTGATTATGAGACTGTTCCACTCCACTCCAATGAGCATGCATGATTTACTGGCATGTATTAAGTAAATGGAAAATGATGAAATAAAGATAACTAGTTTAAATGTAGCCTGGAATACTCACCTGTAAACTGTACAGACAGCAACACAGCAGTGGTGGGAGATGATGTAAGACAGTTACATATGGAGAGGACCAGGCTGTGTCTCCTCCTGGGAAGGGCCAGGCTGTGACTCCTCCTTACACAGTGACAGCTTCTTAAAGAAGGCTTGCAGGGTTAACTGCACTGCCTGGTGTTGCTTCTCACGGAGCATTTCTTTGTAACAGGCGATGTCACTGAGCACGAGTCTTTCTGATTGGTGTTTCATTCCCACTCTGGGTGATTCTTCCTGTATTGGTCCATTATATGTATGATCTGTTTGATACTTTCTTCCAAAGATGTTATGGTGAGGGCTCTTTCTTCTGGAGCTTCTTCAGGGTCACTTGCCTCCTGTTCATGCTGTTGAGCTAACTCTTCCAGTTCTTCATTGCTAAGGCTGTTCCCATGTGACATAAGTAGACCTTTCACATTGTCAGCATCCACCTAATCCATTCCTGCTTGTTGGCCAGCTGTAGGATGTCACCTTTGGTCTTTTGCTCCTCTTTCTCAAACCTCACAAAGTCGTTACATGCCTCTGGCCATAACTTCTGCTAGACACCATTCATACATGTGTTGGTGACTTCGTTTCAGCATTCCTTAATATCATGAATAGCCTTCATGATATTGTAGTCCCTTCAGAATTCTCTAATTGTTTGAGTATTCTCTCTGTCTGCCTCCTCAACTAGCTGTTTGAAGGTTCTGTGCAGGTAATAAGTCTTGAAATTAGATATCACTCCTTGATCCATGGGTTGCAGAATGGAAGTAGTGTTAGGTGGAAGGTACACTACTTCCACAGGCAGACAAGTCTGGAGCTTCCAAGGTTCTCTGGGTGGCATGGAGCATTACCAATTACTAACAGTGCTCTTGGTTCAAGGCCATTTTCCTCACAGTAACACTTCACTGCTGGGCAGAAACATGACATAAACGACTGCTGGAATAAGTTGTTTGTCATTCAGGCCCTCTTATTTGATTTTCACTCTACAGTCAGATGCGCCTTAGAAAATCCCTTCATTGCACATGGTGTCTTGGAGTGATAAACAAGCATGGGTTTCAGCTTGGCGTCACCTGAAGCATTACCCTTCAGCAGAAGCGCGAGATGGACTTTGGCAGCCTTGAAACTTTATGTACACTTCTCTTCTTAGGAGATAAAAGTACAAGAAGGCATTCTCTTCCAAAAAAGGCCTGTTTCATCCACAATGAAAACAAACTGGGGAGGGTAGTTTCCACGCTCGATGATGGCTTTGAGCATGAGGGGGAATTCCAGGGCCACCTGCACTCGCGAGAGCCTCTCTACCAACACGGATGTTATGCAGGTTACTTTGTTGCTTAAACTGGTCAAACCAGCCTCAGCTGGCAGTGAATGTCTTTGTCTTTGATTTCTCATCTTCCTGTTCTTGCAGATGGGTAAAGATGCTCTATGCTTTTTCCAAGATGATGAACTGGCTTAGGGCCATGTGGCACTGCATTGATCTTCCATTCACATGCTTAACCTACTTTCAATCTTCTCCAACAGAATGCTTCTTGACTGAGTTAACTTTATTGTCATTAATTGAGTGGTGGTCTTAGAAGAAGCTTTTATGTTATCACTATTCCTTAAAATTGTTCTGATGGTCGACAAAGCCAACTTCAAAGAATGAGCCACATCCAACTGCTGTAACATCTTTATTTTCACATCCAAACTTATGCATTTTCTTGACACTTTTGGCACATTCATAACAGAATCATTTGTACGCCTTTTTTATAGTCATTTTTTGTTAATAATGTTCAAAATATTTGGCGAAAAATCTGCTAACAAAGGGAGACCATAGTGCAGCATATGTTTAGCAGCAGGCACATTTTATAATGAAGAACATGAGTGCTGAAATATTTAAAAAAATCCTGAATTTCCTCTACTTTGAGAATTGTGACATTGTTTCTCTAAGCATCCCTCTTCTTATCTTATTCATCATCCCTCCAATAAGTATATAATTTAACGTAAATTACTCAGTATAATATCGTCATTGCTGGGAAAAAATATTTTTTTTATTAGCCTTTAATTTCGTTTGGTTACAGAGTCATCAAATAGAAAACCAGACCCCTCCTGCCACATCCCCTCTTTCAGGTTTTGTCAACACGTGTAGTTCTATCTGACATTTATGATTATATTAGTTATAACCAATAGACAGGTAAGGTTTTCATCTATCAAATGACGTATTATATTACGTTGTTTCCCATACACAGATTTGTAGATCGCTTCCTAAGAAAACCACAGGAATGATATTGTGTAGATGGATGACGTTTTAATGATTCATATTGTGTCGTTAGAAATAGCAGAAAAATTGTGATAGTTACAGAACATTGTCTGTTTTTTGCGCGTTATTATTCTATGTTCTTTGTTTCATTACTATATTAAATAAAAATTATTTAGTGCACTACTACCATTAGTGCAAAAAAGTAGTGTTTAGAGAGTTATGGATTTTCATAATTTTTTCCCTCTCTCTCGTGGAAAATAAAATATCTCAAGGAGAAAAGAGCTCTATAACGAATCAGCTTAAAATGGGGTAGCACTGAGCGGTGTCTCACTTTATTTACTTTCCAAATTACAAGAACTACGACTTAGCATGAGGTTACATATAAGTTATTTCGTATGCTTTAAAATATAAGTCAAACTTGATCCTTCTTGTTCCGTTAACCAAGTCATGTGGTTAAGTACGTATACGTATTAGTACATATCTTTCATCTTATTGATGATTTTGGTCAGATAAAAAAGTGTTTTTCTCTTCTGTGGACATCCAGGCAGCCTGACAGTTTCTTGTCTTCCTAGCTGTGACCGTCCATGCTACTGTCACTCCCAAGGCTACAGGGGCCAGAAGAAAGTACTTCTGACTATATGGGAGATGTTTCTTTAACAGGGTTTGTCCAATATATGTTGCTGAGACAGCTGTAAAATATTTCATTATAAAAAATAATCCCTAATTGACTAAATATTTAAAACAAACAAATATGAACTACTGTAAAAACATAACTTGCACAAAGAAATTGGTAATTTATTTTATTAGCTGCCGGTTTGATCAATTTTGGCATAATTTTTACATAATAGAACCTTGTAAGCTGGTTACATTAATATGACGAACATGACATACTGTATAATCATATAGGTCCAGCCTATAGGAGATATTAACTTGCCAATGAAAAACAGATCATAGAAAACCACAAAAGTGGGAAAGTATCATTCACAACATATCCAATCAGAACTCATATTACCAATTTTATACAGTTGTCAACTTAACCTCTACAGTGTTATATGACATTGGATTGAAAATCTTAAAAACTGCTGAAAGTCACAACTCATTAATGAACAGAAAGTGAACATAAATATTTAATCTATTTTTCTAGTAATTAATTAAAGAAGAATTTTTAAGTACTTTCAAATATTTCAGTCATTTGTCTCTAACATTTTGAAAATATTTCTGCTAAATTATCTGTGACTTTATATACTTTAATTAGATGATGAAATCATAGTTTCACTAACAATATTTATCCCCCAAACATGTACTTTTATAAATAAAAATGTACAATAGTTTGGTATTAACACAAAAGATATTACCCCATATATTTCACCACGCCAATGTGTGTGTTTTAAAATGTACGTTAAGAAGCATATTTTGCCATCTATTTCCAAGAATTATACGACCAACACGAAAGAGAAGACTGGTTGATCTCACCGAAGCCATCTATTTTCCATCAGAAAGAAAATGCCACCAACGTGCAAAAACTTCTTTAAGATAACTTTTTCAAGAACCCAAGTTGAAAACAAGCTTCTTCTGTAAACCATTCCAAAACGTAATTGCACAAAAGAGAGAAGTAATACTTGTCATTACAGAATCCAGTCGGTACGCTAACATGTAATTTGTTCAAGCCCCTGAACTATTCTGAATACTTAAATGGAATCACTTCTTATCTTAACTTATACTCTAGGTAAGAAGGTATAAATATGTTACTACGTCTTCAACATTATAACATTATACACAAGTGCCAAGATAAAAATACCTGTTCTATATGTTGTTGGTTAATTGGACGTGTTCTTGGCATCATTGCAAATGAACTACTTCGTGTCTTGCTATAAGTAAAGTGCTGGCATACAGGCTGACCTTGTGAAACCTGTTTCTAACCTTCCATACATACACTGGTAAGATATACACAAACATACAGACTGACCTTGTGCAATCTGTTTCTAACCGTCCATACATACACTGGTAAGACATCCCCCAGCATACAGACTGACCTTATGAAATCTGTTTCTAACCGTCCATACATACACTGGTAAGATATACACAAACATACAGACTGACCTTATGAAATCTGTTTCTAACCATCCAACTGTACACTGGTAGGACATCCACCAGCATACAGGTATTTGGACTCACCACAATAGGCTTCGAGATTGGATCTGATGTGTACAGCTTCAACTCGATGTCTTACCAGTGTACAGTTGGATGGTTAGAAACAGATTTCATAAGATCAGCCTGTATGCTAGTGGATGTCTTACCAGTGTACAGTTGGATGGCTAGAAACAGATTTCATAAGATCAGCCTATATGCTAGTGGATGTCTTACCAGTGTACAGTTGGATGGCTAGAAACAGATTTCATAAGATCAGGAAAGACATTGATCATCAGTTGTTTGTGTTATGGATAATGCTTTCCCTTGTCCACATGAGCAAAAAATGTCTCCTCTAAGGTCTAGCCACAGTTCATGGACAATATGAAGTAAGTCGAACTCTGTGATTTGATTAACTTCAGTTAAAATTGAGACAAGATTGTATGAAACTACTGTATTATATGATACGACCTATCATCAGATGCCTAATTTTCATAACAGTGAATAGTGGGGTGGGGGTGGGGTGGAGTGATTGACATTATTTCATAGCAGTGGTTTTGCCTTATCATAGGTATAATGTTACAAATTTTGCTTTGCCTTTAATTTTTGGAGCAGTGTATTTATAAATTTATCTCTATCTCCTGTTTACATTTTTAGCTAGAGCCACTTAAAAACCTGTAAGGTCTTACAAATGACAGCACCTGATTTCCCCCCTTCCATGTTTGTAGTCTAAATGCTTGGATTTAATGATAAAAGAAACCTTTGAAAAAAACAATATGGTGAAATTGATTCAATTGGAAGCTTTTTTTTTTTTTCAAGTATTCTAATTTTTTGTTACAAATAATAAAGAAAATCAACGTTAAAAATATGTCCAAGAGAAAATAGGCACAGTAGTTGTAAATGCATACTTTTTTCATCATTTTGGTACACACATTTAATTATTAACTCTACAACAGTACTTACTTAAGGCAAAAGATGCAAGCCCAGTCAAAAGAGCTCGAGACATACACTCAGTATATGAAGCAAATCCCTGTAAAACATATAGAGTAGACAGCTTATTTACATGTAGTCAGTAACTACGACAAACTATATTTCAAGATATTTTTATACCGTATTTTTTATTTCAGAAACAATAAGAATTTGTTTGTGAAAAGTGCCTAATACACACACATTTATATAATTCAGCTTTTTAGTTTCACATGAAAAATGATTAATAATGTCAAATGCTCACACACAAAACTGGATTACATTTTGTTTCTCCAAGATATTTGATCCATATCACTAAATAATCTTACGGAGAACATTAACAACAAAACAAATATCAGTATTTTAGCTATAAAATTCAAGAAACATTTAAGTATCGACTTAAGTCTGAAACTGTGGAGAATAACTAGCACTTTTTGTGATAACAAAAACACAAAACTCTTTTTTAAAACTACTGTTTTCTATTGCATACATTTTTCTAATAGATTTAGTTCTTGACAAAAACAAACATACTCTTACGACATCATGTATGCTCACAGTTACCCTGAATTAATGTGCCATTTTCTTAATAGGTGTCACTGTTATTAGTCAAAAAGTGTGAGCTGCATTTCCTCTGAATTAATCAAGATGATTTTATATTAATAAATTGTATACAATATGTGAAATTCTTCGAAGAAAGAGAGAAAAGAAAACAAAAGATGTACGTATGTGAAAGAATTAAACTGTAGTATGTAATTAAACACTTCATTTGAGAAAAATTAATAAAATATCTATATAACAAAAAGAGGCTCTGAAAGAAGTAAAATGATGTAATGTGATTTAGCTCTGAGAAATTACTTCTTTATTTACACATTTAAGACTTCATAAAACAAGATATTAACAAAAGAGTAGTCATGTAGATTAAACAAAATCAGTTGTTTATGAAGCAATCAAACCCAAAGTAACAGAGGTAGACTGTGTACCTTCCTCTGATAAAAGTTATTTATTAATACATCAATCGGGATGTACAATGAAATATTTTTTCAAGATTCAGCAAAAGGCTAAAATTAGCGTGAAAAAATTGTACCTTCCTCCGATAAAAAGTATCTATTAATATATCAATCTGGATGTAGAGTGAAGTATTTTTTAAAGATGAGCCTATATAGAGAGCTCAGCAAAAGGCTGAAATTACCACGATAAAAGTTTAGATTTCATAGTGAATTATATTTATTTTATGTTCACATAAACTTTATCTTTTTCATTAATCAGAGTTTTGCAAGAAGAGTATTTTTAAACAAGTTTGTTGATACCTGATTTTATACCAAATTTTTGTTTCCTCCCAATCTTTCATTTGTGTAAATCGTTGTTGTTAGGCCTTTGAAGCTATTTTGATTTTGCTACATGCATATACAGAATCTTTTTTATTTGGGGGGGGGGGCAAATCTAAGATGTATGTAGGCATTACAATAGTTTGTGCAAGAGAACCTTAAAAGTACTTTTAAAATTTAATAACAGAATATCTTTTTTATAGTGAAAAGTGAGATTATTTTATAACTAAAACTGAAAGAGACTTCATGAAACTAAAATGTTTATATTGATGACAGTAAATTGGTAGAATAAAATGAATTCCACACAAAGAGAACTTATATACTTTTTCTGTACTTAAGTTTTAGATTCAAGATTTGAATTACTGTCAGAATCTAAATATCTAAGAATAGCAGTACCTTTTTATGGCAGTCAAAGTTAGACAAACGATTGATAATATTAATTTTCTTACATTTAGGTGCAAAAGAAAGGACTTATCAGTTGATAGAAACATTAAAGATAATTAAACCAAATATATGTGTGTTTAGGATAAATGAAGAACACAAAGTTGTCAAAAGATTTAGAGGCACTGACAAAACTCAAGAAACAAAATAGAAGGAAAAAAAAAACTTATTTTTTTTCTTAGAGCAAATTATTTTCAAGGAAGTCATGAACAATCAGTGAACAAAAAAAATCAGTTGTAGACTAATCATTACAAAGTTTATTTTTGTTTTATGTATCTATATACGGCTAGTTTGACTGGTATATAAAATCAGCTACATTATTGACTATAATGTTAATTTTTGGTTCTATGTATTCTGCTTACTTTAATCAGAACTTATTGATAAGATATACAGTATAGAGCAGTAGTTCTCAATCCTTAGTAACCCAAGGACCCTTATTAATTTAGAAGCTTCTTTTTTTGTGGACCCCATACCTATCAATGTTTTTTTGTTTAAAAAAAAGATTTTATTTATGTGAAAATCTGTATTCCAAAATTAAATGTTTTAATTCATATAAATTTATATATATATAAAATATTCAAATATTTTTTATTCTATAAATCATATTTTAAAAATATTTTATATAAAAGTTTGGACATGACTCACAGACTCCAGTTTGACAAATACTGGTATAGAGGGTAATGCATGAAAAACATATCCTTTTGTTAAGAAATTAAGGTCAATCTTTGTATCATATTTAAATGAAAGCCACACAATAATTTTAAAATATGATAGGTCATATATTCAATATTAGTCTGGAAGACTTTTCCTCTGTAAATTTCTGCAAGATTTCTGTGAGGTTATAATTAGGGTATTGTTTGGATGCTTTGGTTCCCTTTGCAACAGAAGGGATATCAACATAAAATGTATTCAAAAGCAGAATGACACATGAATTAAATTATGAGTAGAAGTTTTAGACTTGTTTTAGCTAGATCATAGAAGAAATAAAAAGATTTCATTTAGATATTAAAAACTGTCAGTAGTATGGGCACTTTTCCAATAATTTTGTATTAAGTTTAATCTTCGAAAATCCATATGCAATATATTCTTTACAATAATGGTTTGAGATGGCTTGAATGGGTAATGAAGAAAAACTTTAATATAAGTTTAACGTAACAGCAAATGGACAAGGTTTTGTCATCATCAGGTACAAGTAATTTACATTGACACGGACATATATATATATACAGTATTGAACAAAGAGGTCTTCATTAACCATTGAAGCTGTCTCCAACCATTATTAGTCTCAAAGTGGGTTCCTTGTCATCGAATTTGATATTCTTTACAAGTTATATTTTGGTTAATGTGGCATGGTG